GGGACTGGTGTTTGGAAAGGGTTAGAGTGAGCTGGCGTTAGAAAAGGATTCGATATGCTCGAAATGTTAGAGACGAAGGAACCGGCAGGCGTCACCGCTCTGGTTTCATTAGTATCGCTCCTTGGACGCGTTCGTGTATCGATCGCTAGCGTTGGCGGCGCCAAACTATTGCTCGCCATGATTATGAAAATGTATAGCTGCTAGTCTTATCTTAACTTGACAGATGAATAGATATGAGGTAGATCATGGGTTGAGATGGTAATAGGTATAATTTCTAAGATATGATGGAGTATGATAATTATGTAGGCTTTCAAGAACGAACTGGTCGGTGAGGGGGGGGTATCATATAAGAAAGATAAGTTCGGACGGCTGTGAGGTGAGGCCTAGAAAAGGCACATGCTGACGCTGTTAAGGCTCGCCGTATAGAATTTCCACTTTACCGAGGCCAAAGGATGTCGTGGTATTGTTGCCCCAAACTAAACTGGATAGCAGGCTATCCGATACCAAGGACTCTCTTGGCCAGGCTGTGCAAAGCGGAGTAATGCGATGGCGAAAATGCCGGATTAAAGGTACCAGTAGTTGGTAACTTAGATGGTGGACCCGTCGTAATGCAGACCGCAGCTTGATCTTGGGTTATGATATACCTCTAGGTTACCTAGGTATATTAGGTGCTTAATAGATATATAGTACGCGTTGACAGAAAAGAAAGACGCGACTCTTTAAAGTGTTGAGAGTCTGTTCACACCATCTAGACCCGGGCGCAGCTATCAAATCTGTCTTGAAGGTGTAATAAGGAAGGCTATGTTAGGCATATGGCGCGGTGAGAGGCAAATGCTGTGTTGGAGGCCGCTTTTGCTTGAACATAAAAGGCGCTTCCCATCTCCTCAAAGACTGACTATGACGGATTGGCCACGAAGGGTAGGAATTAGTGGTATTGGCGACTAGATCGCTTCTACATACATGCAGTGATTAACAGATACCTAATAGATACCAATACAACGGTTTGAAGGATCAACTACTTACATGTACCTAACATGTATGAAGAGAGGAGAAATTTCTGACGTTCCTCCCTTATGCCAAGAGGGGGTCGAATGAGGCTGTGTAGATGTTAGATACCGCTTTGACCAATTAAAAGTCGGGCGATACGCAGTTTGAACATAACTAACTCTATATTATTCCATCTGTTGATTGGCCTTGCTGCATTGCCCAGTCTAGATTCCTAGTTTGATTTGACTTTTGAGTTTTAAACCCGGATCCGTGGTGCATGGCCGAGTTTCTTCAAACAATTATCGCGATTCATGAGCGAAATTCGCTTTTAACCAATCACATGTGGGAAACCCATCCAATTATACTCAACTCACAACTCACAACTCACAACGACAGCAATACCAAATATACCAAATATACCAAACTAAACTACCTCCAACTAATAATCGGTATTATCACGGACACGTTCCCTTGCTTTAGTCGATGATTGATAACCTGACACGCCAACAAAAGGGCGGAGTCAACTTACAGGTAGCAACCAAGAAAGCCTAGTTTTTAGACAAACAATACCAAGCCCGGCATTAACACTTGGCTTAGATGGACTATTTGGCATGACGCATATAACTACTTCTTTACCATCGCAAAACTTGGGCGAATCTTGTTTTCGTGGCCATGTGGCTCCTTAAAACAAAATCTAGGCAATGCACGATCCGATCGTCTGTAACTATACCTGGTATGCTTTCTACATAATGCATCCATCGCCAACTTTCGACACTTTACTAGCGGTGTCTATAAATTGATCGAGTGACTTGATAAGCATTAGTGGTCCCTATGTACCACTCACTACAAACCACGTAGGCCCCTAATCCAGTACAAGCCCGCAAAGAGTCATTATATGGGCATTGGACTTTATAGACAGAGTGGGTAAAATGCTTAAGTCATCACTAGAAAAGCTAAGCCCTTTCTCATTCCACTATCTCGTCAGCGCCAGTCTAGAGTTGTCCAAGTTGATCCAATAGTCTTAACAGCAGGCGTGTCGAAATTCTTGTCTTTCTAGGAATTAGTAACTATCACACCAGCATGTTGCTTACATTATGATGTGATGCATCGTAAAACGTTCCCCACGGCACGCTACTGAAAGTGAGAAGGCAACTTGTGATTCACGAACTCAAGGCCTTGGCTGTCTTGTGTCAGTTCAGATATGATCCTCCTTGCAAGGCAGACTCGGAAGGCATAAGAAGCTCGGTACGAAAATCGCTTCATCAAAATTATACCGAACAAAGCCGTAAACCAACAAGGAAGGCTTCAAAATGCTAGGTATAAAACTAATTTGATTATTACGCCTTACGAAAGCTATCAGGGAGGGGTTCATACTATCTCTACGTTAAATCAATATAGAAATGGTGATGCTAGGGGATAATATCATCTTGAATACTATTACGATTTGTACGAAGATCTTTGTCGATTAGTTACCTCAAGTAGGACCTTACCCACTCAGAATAGGGGGGAACAAATACAGCCCTGGTACGAAAAGGGGTGTTCTACTTGGCATGCTTGCCGGTATAAAACAATTATAGGAGACTGCAGATTCCGAATTAATCTAGTTCTACGCTACCATACACAGCCTCATTGTATGCAATCAAATGGGCAAGCCGAGGCAGAGGTGGTGAGACCTAAGCAATACGCAGGTTAATTCTGCTTTGGATATCAAATACAACTCTCAGTCAGTCTTTAATATCTTACGGTGGTAAATCAAATTGTAAAAAGATTTTTTTTTAATAAATAGTTTTACGGTATTAAGATTAGTTATGGAGAGTGTTCGCATTGTAGAGCAACAATTAGCAGGCCTCGGAGTTGCTTCCCGTCTAGAGTGAGGGGGATAATATACAAAAAATATATGAAGAAAATGCCTCATACCATGTAACACTAGAGTCACATTTAGGGTGGCTATGTCCTCCCTCGGTGGACGGAAGCTGCAGCTCGTAGAACAGTGAACGTGCAATCTTTTCTGCGATGGCTTGCCAGAAACTGATAAATCAGACACTTATGTGTATTTGAAGATACTCTTCCCCCCTATTTATAGCATAGTATACCTAGATACCTAGGTATGTAGGCCTCATCTTATACATATTGTTCATAGTTTTTAACCATTTTCAATTACCAAAGTCGTATCAATTTGACTCACGACAGGTTATTAGAATCAGATACCGCTTAATGTGATGCTGAATGTCTATTATTGGATTATAAGCTACCAAAGCCCTAAACTACGGAATCATCATCACGTAACTAAAACAAACCTTCGTTGTATTTTGTAATAGAGATATGTGACTATTCCATATGTATATATAAGTGATTTGTCCTAAGATGAGATCTTGCATCATTAACAATATATCGGATGGTCACTTTTCTGTTTCGATCAAGGTTACACTCGGGTGCCTGAGCGAATACAAATATGTAATCGCTATAGATGGAAATCGGACATATCTGGGCGTACTAATTAGATTACATTCGCACAAGGCAGACTTCGAAGGATAGGTAAGGCTGACAGGATCTTAGGTAATAGTAGGATCCCCTCCTATTTGTAATTATCAACGGTATGAGCCTCAAGAATCAAACTACCATGGGACAAAACATCCGATAAGATAGTACGTAAGACCAACCCATCCTTCTGAATCCCTGTTCACTTCTGGAACTATTCTGTGACCTCTTGCGGGAATATGGAGAGTTCGGGGGTAATCAGCGCAAATCGCACCTCAACAGAAAACAGCTACTATTACTTAACCAAGCCACCATAAGCCCCACGATAAGTACGACCAAACGTCCCCAGGATCGGACTTCGTTCTATTCCCATATTCTCCGATCAGTCTAACGGATAGGTACGACTAATCATATTCTTTAAATGCGCCTCATGGGAACACTTTCTGACTAAATCAACCAGTTTGATTTCCAGCAATGCGAGGCGAGACAACATGTTCGCAGACCATACGATGGTTAAAAATTCCCAAGTCGCTAGTGGCTTAGATACCACGTAGTAGACAAGAATCTACATGCCTAGAGAGAAACTATTTTAGCTTAGGTACCCAAAAGAACAATGAAGAGGGTACCAAGGCTCATCGCGTTGCTCTCCTAGCAGTGCGCCGTCGTAGCCTCTTCCATCCAGACTAAAAGACAGAATCCAAACACCATCTACCCGCCTTGTACGCAAGACGGGTGCAAGCACTTCTTGATCCGGATCTGATCAATCCGAAGACGCGGTTCCTGTGTCCGATTAACAGGTATCGCGACGACTTGATCAAATTTCAGGGGCTAATTTACCAACAGAGATTTACCCCCTTGAAGAACTACGCCTTTGACAGTTGGTAGCGCGCTTCTACCGCTAGAATGTCATGAAATGCCTACTTCGGATTATAACCCAATTCACCAAGCGGTCGATTATGATCCCGTAACTGCAAAAGTGAAGGGGCAACTGGTATTCTGAATCATATTTGTAATGTGATATAATATCATAGCTACAACACCTTCAGCTGCTATCCTATCAATGTCTCACTAGTCGGCTATGAAGTATAATGTCGAGTAGAGCAAATTCAATCTAAATCTGTAGCTAGTGTCATACATCATCGTCTCACGGCATGGAAGCTCATAAGGATTTGTGGCTCGTAGCTAACGTTAACATAAAATAATCAAGCAGGACTCCTCCTGTGCTTTTCTACAAATAGGAATATCCAAAACGCCACCCTCGAATGCTTTTGAATGCTTTAACGTGCTATGCAATATTTATCGTGAACTGGCTGTTTCCGAATCCAGGGCCGACCTGCAACTAGTCCGGGATGATTGGCCACCTCCCACTATTCGACAGGGTATATGCTGAAAGAGTGAATTGTCATATACCGCCAATCGTGAACAGTGTCCGGGAGATTCTAAAAGGTGCAGAGATGGCATGCTAGTAACCGACAATCCTTATCGAGGCACTGGTTTTGGCTTCATCCCTCAAGAAGTGTGCCCCCCCTCTTCATCTAAGAGAGAATATCACTCGCAGCCGCGCAAGCGCCTGTTTCTTCTAAATCCTCTACTTCCGTCATGCGTATGGCTTCTCCTACGTCGTCAACGAAGCGGTGTCTGCCACCTACGAGTTCAACAATTCCGCTTCGTTCCATCAATTGCCACACTTCGTTCTGTCGGCTGACGGGTCGGCTGAAAAACACCCTAACGCCCCGGTCTCGATAATTGCGTACTATCTCCTCTAATACCTGAGTGCCAGAACCATCCATTGAGGTGACTCCGTGTATATCAAAGATGACATTTTTGTTACTGGCCTGTGGACGAAGACGCGGCAACGCTGGATGTGCATTTCCCGTACCGTACAGCTCGAGCCGTCGTAGTCTATTCTTTAATTCACCTGTATTTGCAAATGTCAAGGGCTCGGGAATTTTTACAATCAAACATCCCTCTACAAACTCGAGATCCTGGGGGTGCTCTTCGGCGTTAGCGAAGCGATCACTGTTAGGTACCCTGCCCAAAATTTGTATACGAGGGCGTGTTGCGTGACGAATGACTTGCAAAAGCGATAGGCCAATGCCAATCGCAATGCCTAAATTGAGAGAGAAGAAGACCGTGACGGCTAGGATGACAGCCATGAGGGCAAGCTCAGTCCAGCCCTTGATTCGTAGGAAAAACGATATGTCATGCGGCGCTTCTTCGATTAAAGACCAGGCAACTGCCATGATCAGAGCAGATAGGACGGGTTTCTGCTCCGTCGTTAGTTTTGTGTTTACTATGGTGAGCACTTGTAGCAGAAGCTCAAGGGGGGCTAGCGAATGGGTTATGAAGGTAGGTCACTCACAGGAAGGTAATAGAACCACGGTAAGAGGAATAGGATACATATTACAGTAAGAACGCTGAGTATAAGGGAGCTCATGGGACTCTTCCCGCCTGTACTCTTATTGACCTTGCTTCGACCGTAGCCTCCAAATGCCGGGATGGCCATAAAGCACGCACCGACGAGGTTAGCTGCTCCGAGAGCCACGAGTTCTCGATTAGGACTCAACTGCATCCCTTCGACGATTTCTTCGCCTCCTAGACTCTTGGCTGCAACCGAAGACTCAAAGAAACCAAGCATGCCGATCAAGAAGGACGTGCCCATAGCCTCTCGTATGTGGGACATATGCGCTAGTTGGAAAGGGTTATGAAAAGTGAAGACGTGACCGGATGCTGCTTCGACTTTGCCCAACACTGGAACACCACTTTGTTCCCAGCCCAGGTGCCAAGCCATGACTGCAGAGAATACAACTACGATAAGTCTATCGGGGAAATATGCTACTCCTGGGTATCGTGGTTGCAAGCGCCTCTTGGCCTCCCTACGCATATGATCAGCTGAATTAAATTCCAAAGACGGCAGAGTAGTCTTCAACTTACCGCAATACCATAATGACAACAAACCCCACAATGCCGACAATAGCAGTAAGGTTGTGTCTGTCGCTAAGGTGTGTGAGTACAAACTCGAGCTTCTGCACGGTGCTTCCATGCGTAACTCCCGGCGCTGCTTTAGTTGCATGGATAAGTCCCAAGACGGGAATTAATTGGTCGATAAAGATAACCACTCCAATAGCGGAAATGAAGCCTCGTAGGAATGGTCGGCTCAAGACGCTATCAAGAAATCCTAGACGAAATACGCCCATAAAGAAGACGGTTGCACCAGCTATGCCGACGGCCACACCAGCCACCTTTGCTTGTAGAATGGCATTGTCGTCGTCGTCGCCTCCATGATCGATACTATTCTTAACAATAGATCCGACAAGTAAGGAACCAGCTGCCTCTGGCCCGACCACCATCAGCGGGCAACTTCCTAATAGCGCGTATATGAAGGGGTTGATGGCGAAGGCATATAGGCCATTGATCGGGGGAACATGTGCCAGGTTATCGGCGTACGAAAGAGCCATAGGGAGGTACATGGACGCAATGGTGATAGCGGCCGTAAAATCGCCTTTCAACCAAGACCACTTATACTGCTTAATCCATATGAGGAAGGGCACATAGTATGAAAAATACATGACCCACGAGTCCTTAACGCCATGTTGTTGTGCCAGGGTACTGGAATCCGTCATCTTTTTGCTTTTTACCCTACTCGAAAATGTCTTTCTCCAGTTCACAAGCTGCGTCTCTCCAGACGGCACAGAGCCGTCCGAATCCGTCACAGACCCTATATCGCCATCAAGATTACCGGCTCTTGGTGGCGGGCTGGATACGCGAGGAGAGAATGTGCCGTGATCGCAAGAGCCATCATGTGCGCGTTCGTGGTGGAGGAGAGAAGTAGTCTCGTTAGTGTCGTCATGAGAGTGATCGCGACGCGTGCTAGGACCTGCAGGATTTATCCCTTCTGAATCCTCACTCATTGAAGAGGATGAGGCGGTGAGACTATGGCGAAGGCCACTCGGAGTCGGTGGAGCATGGTCGTGAGGATAGGGTCGACCTGTCGTAATAGAAGGAGGTCGTGATGACGGCGACATACTCTCGGCTTTGACTATTTCGACTTTGGCAACCTAGAACTATGGGATTCTTAAGAGAAACTGAGCTTTCGTTTACGACCCAGCCGTAGTGTGTTTGCGACGTAACAGGCAGACAAGGTAACAAGAGATTATCACTAGAGCAATCTAATTGGCTTTAGAGACCAACAGGTCGACGAGAAAACCGGGAGAATGTAGAGTAGAAGAGGGCTAGGTGATCTACATTATGCATACAACTGGAGCTGCTAATAGTAGAAATGATATGGAGGATACTGGAGATATGATGTACGATATGCAAGATGAAGTAGGAAGGGAAAAATGGCATTTATTTAATTGGTTCATTGATAAAAGAATGACACCAAAGTATTTTTGTATTGTTCCAAGGGTTCCGTAGGACAACAAGTGGATACAGCGGGGGGCCCGGTACCTAGTTCCATACATGTAAGAGCAGAGCATTGAGTAGCTCCTTGGTACCATTTCATCTCAAAAGGTAGCAACTTCTTCTTGGTCGGTATATGTTGGTTGTGCTTACCATCTTATAAATTTCAAAGAATAAAAAGGAAAGAGAACCCAAAAAATAGGAAAGAACCTTTCTGCTTAGATAATCTTTCGAGATGACAAAAAGAAAACAAAGTTCAATGGTTACATATTTCATAGGTTAGGTACCTAGGCAGGATAGATAAACCCTAAATCAGCCATGTGTCTGCAGCCCACCGAAACGCGAGCTGGATCTAGACCCCGAAACGCAGTTACGCAGTGGAGATTTTAATGTACCACAGCGTTAGGTACCTAACCTGTCCACGTGAGCTTCACCTAAGAAATGTTAAGAAATATTTAGGTAAGCTCAAAGGTTAGCCGCTTCAACATTACTTGGTACGGTTATAAATAAATCAAATGTTGAAATTTGGTTGCCTATGGATCAGCTATCTAACCTCGTGCAATTTAAACGAAATGATTCATCGCGCATTCATATCATGATAACCCAGCGAAAGCCCTCCACGATGTCGTCCATCCACATATCGGGTGACGAGAGAGGGTGCTATATCGCGTCAAGCATGTCATCGGAAAATGGAAATGGAACATCAACGACCATGTGTGCAAGCAATAGTCAACGATAGTTGAAATGAGTGTACTATCCGAAGATGAAGAAGGAAGGCGGGCCTTCATTGTCGAGTCATCGTGATAGCATACGAGGTCTGGCTAATAAACGCGTTGCTACCTGCGATGATGCGATTACGCCAGAGCATGAGCATCTTCCTCATCTTCTTCTGCTTCTTGGGCCTTGATATCGGCTTTGATCTTGGCGTTGGTCTCATCTTCATCTTCACTACCATCGCTCTTAAACTTAGAAAGAGCCTTTCTAGAGGTCTTAGTCTTCTTGCCGGAACCGGGGGTCTTCTCGCTGCCGGCCTTGCGCTTCTTGCTGCCTTTGGTGGGCGTGCCAGGCTCGCTTGTGTTGGCTGTGGTCGATTCTCCTGAGGCCAAGGCGAGCTTTTTCTTGATAGGTCCGAAACAAGCGCGGGCAGTTGAGGCGTTCTTGAAAGGTGCAAGCTGGGCGAGCTTGTCCCAGTTGATCTAGAAATACAGAAGCACGGTTAGTAAATGCCAATAATTTTGGTCATATAGTTTTATAAAGGAAATAACGAGGTGCGAGCTTAATGTCTCAAGATAAAGGTCTCAAGATAGCAGGTATATGATTGGTAACTTGGAGTATTCGAGGAATTTTTGATAGGTGAAGGTAGAAAGGTGGTTTCGTTCTTGGTCTTACCTTGGGAGCTACCTCAAAGCACTGCCAAGCTATTCCTAGGATCTCCATATCTCGAGCGGTGAACTGCGTATCCTTGATGGATGCTGCCTTTGATGCCATGGTGATGGATAGCAGTACTGATTGTAGGGTGTGTTGACGAGGGATGCCTTAAACCTCCAGAAGTGTGGAGAAAGGAAGAAAGAAGGAAGTGTGTATCTAACGTGTAACCTAGGTATTGTTGGAAGTTTTGGCGATGCTTCTTCTGATTGTAGGCAGTCTGGATTAGAATCGATGTGCTAACGTGACTGTAAGTTAGCCGCAGCCCCGGATAATGTATTTAGATGGATGTTGATAGATGTGAAAGTCAGGATGAATGGATAAAACAAGTTTGCTTTGAAGTTGTAGGATATGATGGTAGAAAGAAGTAAAATAAGATCTAGGTTGTTGCCTGAAAACATCTTATTTGAGAAAGGTAGGTACAAGAACTGTTGAAATAGGAAAGAATTGAATGCGTTAAGATAGTTTGTGCATTTGTTTTCACGAAATTGCACGGCATCTACTTTCACGTACACGGAATACAACTTGGGCTGATATTTCCAACCGCTACATTTACTTGCCCTAATATCATCCAAACAATTTTTAATCTTTTTAACTTCTTATTTATGATAAGCTATATATTTTCAAACGTGCTTTCTTTTGTTATATTGTATCTTGGCAGCTCTTAATGAGCAACCCTCAACCCTTAGTTATGCTTATTTCATAGTATTGAAGTCTTTACCCGTGCGCATAATCTGCTTGGTTTTCATGGCGTAACACTTTGGCTGCACACAAAAAAACGACAGCTTGAATTTGGGGTAGTTATTTCAAACGGCAATTCTAAACCACCTACTCAGCTTATCAAATATACAGGTCTAAGCATATTTGAATCATATAACATTTAGGTACTATTACGGCCGATAAATCTTGCCCAGTATTCCAATATCATGATGTCTTGCCTTTAGCTTAACAATTCTTTAGGTGAAAAGAATTTGCTTTATGTAACAATTATAACAATTATATAAATGATCATAAGAACTTGAGGTTTAATTTAGAAAATCATCTGCCCTTGGATTTTAAAATACTGATCATTACTTATGTAGATATTAGGTAGCGAGCCTTTCTCGATGCATATATAATCAGGAGTACTAATAATCAACGTCGATTCATCTAACTAATGAGAGCATTATCGATTGCAAGTTGCCTAAATCACTATTCTCTTTTCCCTCTGTCAAAATAAGAAATAGTCGTCATATATTCTGATATTTTCAAACATATGGACTGAAAACTATTTATGATCATGGAATCCGTGAACGGCACCTCATGAGACTCGGTGAATTCATGCCAAGACTCGGTGTAAGTCTCATTGGATAATCCAATATGACACAGCAGTAGCATTTCCCTATGTACAAAGTGGGTATATACCCGCGCTGATGCAATTAAAGGATAATACTAATACGGATAAGTCGTTTCGGAGATTATGTTTTACTTCGGCCGATCATCAACATCAGTCGGACTTGTCCCTGATTCAACTCACCACTCACCACTGATTGATTAGATTAGATCAAGGAACCAAACCATATCACTCAAGTTTTCCTTCAATTTCTAGACATTATACTACTATAGGCTTGTCATGGAAGAGGCACAGAGCGTCAAGACAGACCGTCGCCGTCGCCGCCCAGCTCTTTCATGCGTTAGCTGCCGAAGATCTAAGCTCCGCTGTGACCGCAATTTACCTTGTGGTGCTTGCGTTCGCTCCAAACATAAGACCTGTGTTTATGAGCCTCAAGGCCGGCATTCGGAGTTATCTTCTTCTGCAGCAAGCCCACATCACCCAGCTGATCCCTTGTCCACCGTTGACTCCGATACGGCCGTCTCTCCCGTGACCAGTGGATCAAACCACGCACGTCACGGCGAAGCTTTACACGGAGATCACCCAGCTCTTTCCTTGAATGGCTCTACACCCGTCGACTCAACTACTTCTCAAAGCTATGAACAATCTTTCGATGTTAGGTCACTACTAGACCGAATCAAAGAGCTTGAACGCCGCTTAGAGGACTCTACGGGGAATCACTCGCGTCAGAAGAACGCCACACAACCCTCCGCCGACCCGGACTTTGTGGCTACCTATCCTAGTTATCTAGCAGGAGAATTACACACCATGAGTAAAAGTGTCATGACCAAAACCCGGTATCTAGGCCAAAGCCACTGGATGAATCAAATAGGAAACGTACGCTACTCTCATGTCCTTTTATTTTCTACTCATTCTTATCACGTCCCGGCGTAGGTAGAAATACCATGTATACTGACAGGTCACTTACCAATCATTAGTTTAAGTACATATTGGAAATATTTGACCAGGAGTGTCGAGAAAAGAAGTCAGGGCCGATAGCGATGGTAAACCGGTGCAAGTCGCTGGGTCTGACCGTTAAGGCGCAAAGGGCACCCGTACAAGCTATTAAATATGGTGCTAATATACCGCCACGAGAAGTCGCGGATAAGCTCGTAGATGGATACCTTCGAACGTCAGAAACTGTCTTCCGAATATTACATGTCCCGTCATTTAGAAAGGACTACGAGAATTTCTGGTTGTCACCCGACTCGGTTGACCTCCCCTTCATGATTCAATTTCAGCTCGTTATGGCGATTGGTGGCGCGGTTTATGATGATTACTATACCATGCGCAAGTCGGCTATGCAATGGGTGTACGAGGCACAATTCTGGCTTATCTCTCCGGCCCCTAAGGCAAGGTTGACCCTCACTGGCCTACGGGTCATGCTTCTTCTCTGCCTCGCGCAAGAGACTGCATCCGTAGGCCAGGATCTGGTCTGGATCCACGTGGGACAATTAATGCGCACAGCTATATATATGGGCCTTCACAAAGACCCTAAGAAACTCCCTAAGATGAGCTTTTTCCTCTCCGAAATTCGCCGCCGGTTGTGGAATACCATCCTCGAACTTGCGCTACAGACTAGCGTTGACTCTGGAGGGCCGCCCCTAATATACCTTGACCAGTACGATACTTCCGCGCCGGGTAATTACGACGATGATCAACTGACTGACGACGACACGCCGGTTACGGTTGATCCCCCAGATAAGTTCACAGACATGTCTGTGGCTATAGCACTTCGTGCTAGCTTTTCGGCGCGTCTAGCGATTGCCCGGCTCCTTAACGAAATCGGTACACAAAACACATTCGATGATACCATTCGACTTCACAATCAACTCAGTACCGCGTACAAATCTCTCTCACAACAGCTCCAACGATTCACGCTTGGTGACCGACAACCGACAGGGTTTCAACGACGCCTCGTAGACCTTCTCGTGCGTCGATACTTCATGGCACTCCATCTTCCTTACTTTAGCTCAGCTATGAGTGAGCCGGCTTACGCTTTTTCGAGGAAGACTGTAGTGGAGATGAGTGCAAAACTGTATTCTACTGTTTTTCCTTCGGCCGCTTTCAGTCCTCGGCCACTGAAACCTCAAATGAATGACTTGGGACAAATATCCATTGTCCCAGAAAGGGATGACCTGGCCCGGCTTACTACTTGTGCAGCAGGCTTTGCCCGCAGTATCCTCTCACAAGCATCGATGGCCATCGGTCTCGATCTGCAAAACCAATTGCAAGAGGATGATAGTTTAGGGCCGCCCACCCCCCGAGCGGACCTACTTAATATTTTCAAAGATTCTACCGCATGGATATATCGTCGCATTTATATTGGAGAGACGAATGTAAAAGGCTATTTGTTTTCAATAGCACTATTAACGCACATCGAAGGATTAATGAAGGGCCTAAAACGAGCAGATATCGTAGATTCGATTATTACAGCTGGCACTAAAGCAATGCAAGACTGCTTTGAATTGCTCAAGCAACAGATCGCCCCACAGCCTGATGAAGCTACCAGTACGAATAATGCACACTCTGACTTCGACAGTATGATGGCGATGGACCAAGACTGGGAATATAATACCCCGGTAAGCTGCTTATGTCCAGGTTAGTGGTAATAATAGACTAACATATAAACCAGATGCAGAATGTCCTCTTTAATTTTACCAACATCGAAGCTGTGTTAGGCGTGCCTACAGGTTCTGATATGATGACAACCGATTTCTCACAATGGTAGTAGTAGTCGGGAACATAGCTACCTAGGTACCTAGCTAGGTACATACCTACATAATATAACCAACGGCGTATATGTGTTAGACCCCTCCGACGCGACGAATTCTGGAACTAGCTGAAGAGGTAAGTCTACTATAGGCAAGATTCAAGAGGCCAATGCTGCTACTCGTCAAGCTGTAGCGTACGGTATTTTACTAACTACCTAAGGGACTAGATGTAGCCGTGTACTTGTTATATATTGTATCATGGAGATTTTGCTTTTACGCAGAAGAAAACGCCACTCATTTCATATCATACTAGCCTTTATATCATCCTCCTACTCCTAGACACAACGATCGCCTTGTACCAATTGTACATAGGGCAGTCAAAAATATCGTCCCTAATATGTTACTAACACAGCTGGTACTGCCTGCAACCCAAATTTCATACTGGCTAATAGTCTTCTGTAACACTTATACTAGGCACACCTATTAAGGACCGAGTAGCTGCGTGGTGCCATTTGGAAATATTTCCTAGGAAGAGACTGAAACAAAGACAAAGCGTCGGAGCTCGCCGATATCTTATTCCTCTTGTCAGTTATCGAAGCGGTTTCCCAACGCTGCCGACTGCCTAAATATCCACTCATGGGCTGTCAATCCTTCATCCTCGTCATCTTTTACTTCATCAGGGATACCCTTCCCTTTGATCGTTTTCATGACACACTTGTCTTCCGGTCGGACAAAATAGACGATGCTATAACGCGGATATCGGCCCTGGGATCCAGGAGATGGGATCACTCGATGACGCCCGGAACATAGCACGCCGTTCGTGAAACTGACGGCGGCATCGCCTAGGTTAATGATGGCGCAACCTCTTTTAGGCTTGACCCAGAGCCATTCACCCGGCACATCTGGCTGGCCATTGCTAAGCTGTGCCTTCCTTGCCGACTCGGACCAGACCTGGAGTCCGCCCAGCCAATTCATCAAGATGGTAATCCTGCAGGACTCGAGATCAGCAAAGGCTGTACAGGAAACAATTGAGCGATTACTTACGTCCCGAAGTCGGTGTGCGAGGGTGTCTGAATCTTGGGCATCTCATCGGTTTCTCGGGGCGGGCCCCTAGTGATACGGACATGGTCTCCTGAGGGTTCTTCTATTTTGTGGCGGTTCGCGAACTCGGACGGATCAATGCCGAGCCTTTCCGCAAGGATATTCATGATCATCATCCCAACGGAATGCGCGCTCTTGATATAATCGGCAAAAAGAGGTTTTGCGTCTAGGATAGCGGGTGGCCATGGGCGGCTCATACGGTCGTTCGGCACAATCATATCATTCTTGCCCACGTTGAAAAACTCGGCAGTATCTGGAGTGCCAGACTTATCTGTCACGGTTGATCCAGCATACTTGTACCCGAATAGAGACTTGGTCATCTTATAGTCCATCTTCTCAGCTAGCGGCAACCGGAATACACGCTCTCCCACCAGCGCAATCTGCTCTGCACCCTGGCGGATGGTGTCCCCCGTAGTGCAGCCGTCCAGCTCTAGGTAGAAAAAGCCGCGTCCGACACATGCGTCGAACACGCGGTCCTGTTCGGCGGTGTCGCCATTATAAAGCTTAGATAGGGTGATTGTCTCCAGCGAGACCGTGGGCACATCTGAAGAGAACGGCGGGTATAATTCCGGAGTGAATTCGGTATATGATTCTTCCTTATGAGGCATGGCTAATTACTTGTGAAATATTTTAGTCAGTTCTACAACGGCCTAAGACTATATCGGAGGGGGTCGCAGTTCTATATAGGTACCTAAGATAGCTGAATCTCCGCTCCTTGTTGATCTGGAAATAAGACGGAAGTCTCGGATAGCCGAGTGGAGGTGAAGCGGGGAGAGGTCCAGCGGCGCGTCTATAAATACGTCCAAGACGGAAGGTTGCGTAGGGAATATCTAATATGGGAATCTTGCAGCCAATGCGATGCCGATCACAGTGCCGACAGAGCTTCCCCAGCTTCTCCGCATACTCTTAGCCGGCATTGTCCCGTTTGTTGATAAACGCCAACTTCTGCGCGTATAGTCGTATAGTCAAAGGGGCCAGAACAAAGAAGCTAGGATATCAAAGGGTGCATGAGTGTGTGTATAACAATCTGGGGAATGATGTTTATTTAAGTTTCTGCTCGGTCCTGATCCAGATACCCAATGAAAACCTAGACCCCTATATAAGTAGCTCTAAACTAATAAGCATATGATAGTTCTTACAATGGATAGGTAGCTATTTCCTTAGCCTGTATATACTTATTAGGGTAGGTGAAACTATAAGGACTTGGAAGCTAAAGCCCGCGTCTAGAAATTTCTCGTAGTAATTGCACGTCGCCGAATTGCTACGGCACGCGAATCGGCAACCACGACGGCGCTCGCGGGATTATCCGGGACGTCGACGGGCCGCGACCCCGGGCGGTGCGCGCGCACGAGAAGTCCTCGGAACTCTGGTATTATTCGATGTCCAAGGGCTCGAAGTCGGACATGTTGATGCCGTACGTGTCGACGAAAGTCCGGATTTGACTATACGAGGCCGGCGTGCCTTCTTCCTCGTCCATCCGAGCGAAGCTGTTGTGGATCCAGAGCCGCATTAGATGCGTCGTGTCGATCCATTCTGTAAGTGGGGTGAAGAGTAGGATACCTGTTGCTAAAAGTTGACGATGCCGGTAGAAAAATCAGAACGGAGCCGGGTATTTATCACGCGGACCGGAGCAAAGGAGCAAATATCTTGTCCGTTAGAAACAACCGAGCCGGGTCCATATTGTGCCACTTGCTTCCCACTAAGTTAGGTTCCTGACACTTTAACCTGTTAAGCTTACCTATAACTAGTTAGTTATATGACAACGTCGATATAGTTCTCAGACCGAACGATAGATGTCTTTGGCGGCGGCTCGAGATATATCATACTAAACACTCCGTAAAAGGAGATCCGCGCAGCTACCAAGCCGTCGCGTCTGGGTACTCTTTATACTATTATTCACCATATAGTTGCCCAGGTCCACAGCGAGACTATCCCGGGGGTCAAAGTTGGAGAAAGATGGGGGAACGGTCCCGCTCTTCGGTCACTCGTTTGCGCAATTAGCGAACAGCATCACCGCGAGAGCCGACTGAAAATCAAAATTCCCTAGTCCCAATAAGGCCTACGTCTTCCGAGAGGTCATCTACTCTTCCAGAAAGATTATTAACATACGTTGCTCGGCTTGGTATCGTTAGAGATCAATTCAGTGGATTTCTACTTAGCACTGGCAACAATAGGAGAAAAAAAACCCCCCCCAAAATTATCGTCTTCCCCCAGGCGATTGGGGTTGGATTTGGAGACCCCGGATGGCGCCGTTTCTAAAAGAACGTCTAGTCTGTCTGGTCCTTGTTTGTGATGTTGGCTAGACGAGTTAGACTATTTCTCCTCAACAGACACCCCCCCTGGCACCCCGTTGCCCCCCCCATACCCCAAGCGCCAAGACACCGAAGAAGAGCCTCGTCTCCTCCTCGTCCCCCCCAAATATTTCCTCGTTATGATTCCTCTTACGTAGTTTGCCCCGCATTATGAGGTGCCCGGATGGAGAAGCGGAGATTGGGAGAGTGGCAAGCCCTCCCCTGCCTTGGCCTTTAGTTAAGCTTCTGCAGCTCACATAGGCTGCATGAGCTGGTCGGCACACGAGGGTGGTACCGCAGCGCATGTCTAGCCGGGGCGGGTTCCCACGATGCTGGTCAGATAAAAACCTCGCCATTCCCCCAGCATCTCCTCCGCCGGTCATTCTTCTAGCATTTTTCCCGGGATTCCCTAAAGTTGGTTGGATATTCCCCTTTGTTTGGGGGTTCTCCGGAAATTCTTCACACTCAAACCAACCATTGGGATAAAGAAGCTAGGGGAATCACTACTTTCAACGAATATCCGTCATGGCCGACGAGATAACAAGAGCCGAGCCTTCTCAAGGCCTGGCGCCGAAGCAGGATGTAGAAACACTAGAACATACGGCAGCGCCCGTAGCTACTCCTGGAAACTTAATTGCCGCCGCTTCGATGGATCCGGCGCATCGTGCGCGCGTAGAGAAGTCGCTATTGCGCAAGTTGGATGCGCGATGTTCCCTCTTCGTCTTCATCTACATCCTTAATTATCTTGATCGCAACAACATTGCGGCCGCCCGACTTAAGGGACTCCAAAAAGATCTAAGTCTCGATGATGTACGCCCCTACTTTGGCGCAATTGACGATTTGCGGCCAATATCTGTCTGGTTCTTCCTAGATCATCATGCTAACTACCAATAGACGCAATATTCAACCTGCCTGAGTATCTTGTACGTCGGGTACATCTTGATGCAGGTCCCGTCGAACATGTTTATCAACCGGATCCAACGGCCTTCTCTCTACATTGCATGTGCTATGCTTCTGTGGGGACTCATCTCTACACTCAGCGGGAACACATACAACTTTACCGGCATGGTTCTCGTGCGGTTCTTCTTAGGTTTTGTCGAGGCTGCTTTCCTACCGGGAGCGCTCCTGATCCAGTCTAAGTGGTACACGCGAACTGAGCTGACAACAAGGAATGCGATCCTGTTCTGTGGTAACATCATCTCCAACGCCTTCTCGGCCCTGGTGGGAGCTGGTGTGTTGTCGAACATGGAGGGCGTCCTAGGCCACGCCGCTTGGCGATGGCTGTTCTGGATCGAGGGTGCGGTTACCATGGCCACGGCTATCACCGCTGGTTTCGTTCTTCCGGATCTACCGCACAATTCTCGTGGATTTACCGCCGAGGAACTCGAGGTCGCGCAACTGAGGATGATCGAAGATGTGGGCGAGGCTGATGTCGATGAAGCCAATCAAGGTATCTTCGACGGTTTGATTATGGCCGTCAAGGATATTAAGATTTACGTCATGATGCTTACCTTCACGGCATACGTCGTCGGTCTTTCTTTCAATGCTTTCTTCGTAAGTGGCGACTCATCAAAGCCCCCATAAGGCTTAAACCAGCTAACTTCTACGCAGCCTACTCTTACTGGTACGCTTGGATTCGGCGATATCCCGACACTGCTAATGAGCTCGCCGCCTTGGGCCTTTTCATGCATCGTTTCGCTACTGAATGCTTGGCACGCTGACCGAACTCAGGAGAAGGTGTGTATATCCGTTTCACAAATCATAGTTTACTGTTGTGTGAGAAACGAAGCTAACTCAACTGATAGTTCTGGCATATTGTTGGTCCCATCCTTGGTGGACTTGTTGGTTTCGTTATTAGCATGTCGACCCTGAATGTAGCCGCCCGATACGTGGCTCTGTTCCTCCAAGCCAGCTCCTACGCGGGCTTCATCGTCTTCTACTCGTGGATCAGCTCGTCATTCCCTCGACCGCCGGCTAAGCGTGCCGTAGCGATTGCGCTTATCAACGCGTTCTCGCAACTAGGCAACGTGGCGGGCAGCTACGTGTGGAACCTGAAGGACAACGGATACCGCAAGAGTTACGGCATCGTCACAGCTATGTTCGGAATCACGATCGTCGGTTGCTGGGCGTTCCGTGCTATCCTGGCAGACCTTAACAAGAAGCTGGAAGAGGGCGAGGGTGCCTGGGAGACGCAGCCCGACGAGGCGCGCGTATCTGATGCGAATGCCCCCGACGAGGCGTTGCGGCTACATAAGGGATACCGATACATATTATAAGGGAATGAGTTACGTATATATATATAAATAGAACAGGCCACTCAAGATTATAGCTACCCCTGTCTCGCTTTATTAGCTCTTAGATGAGGATAATGATGTTAAAGAAGATATAAATATAAGTAAAATAACACTACTAAATATGCGATCTTTGATAGGTATCGTGGTGACCTAATGATAGGATATAATGAAGTTCCATATACAATATACGGCGTCCCTAAGTGAGGAAATAGTATTATGAAATGGTACCGACGTATGAATCTGAAAACCAATAATAATATTCACCGATATGAATAAGGGAGGACATTATCATTAGTTGTGAAAAGTGAGAAATACTTTGCGCCCCGATATGTCTGCGTTAAAAAATGAATTGGAGATGGTTGATGTTTTTTACTAGTAATTGAACCATGGAAAGTAGAAGGGAGGTTCAACTCTATGAGCGTCATAGCTACCCGGATGGCCGATCGGGTCGGTCAATTCCCGATAGATTAGTTCCGGTCGGATGCATGTCCCGCCGGGTCCTCAGTATTTCTTTTTTTTTCTTTTTTCAGAAAGAAGAACCATGAAGTAGAATAAAGTTTATGCCTTTTATAACACTATATTTAGTAGAGTTAGCTGACATAACTTTCTTAATCTCTCCATCGTAAATCTCGGAGGCCAAAATATTCCCTCTACACATCTAAACTTTAAACAAGATACATAATGGGACGAACTGAACCCTCAGTCGGTAGACCACCCGCTAGCTTCCGTCGCGATGCCCGTGCGAAAAGAGCCAAAGCCACTATTAATAAGGTCATACCGCCCCTACTGGCGGCGCATCCGCGGGCTCGTCGGGGGATCGAAGCTTCGGAGTTAATTATCGATCCCTCTTCCCTACTACCCTCTACACAGGCTCCCGGAGCCGGGACGCGACGGCGTACTAGTCGGAGACCTGCCGCGGATGAAGGTCATGACGAGGGCAGAGAACTAGGAGAGAAGGACGGAAGCAAAGGCCCTCGTATCTCGTTACGCGTCGCAGATACCCTAGAAGCCGCATACTCACTGCTCCTCGTCCCGGGTCACGAGCTAGAGCAGCGGCGAGATCTATCCAATAAGATATCCCGTGTTGGCGTGCTGAACATGGCGTCACCACTATCTGGAGGTGGTGGGTTCCTGAACGGTGCATCAAGCCAAGAAGAATCGCTGTGTATGCGCTCGACGCTCCTCCCGTCCCTACGGGATGAGTTCTACCGTCTTCCTGAGCTCGGTGTTGTATTTACGCCCGACGTGCTAGTATTCCGCGGCTCGGGTAGCGAGCCTCAGGGTAAAAAAAAGAGAAGCGGGGAAAAGGTAAGTGATGGTGAGGACGGAGATAGAGATCAGATAGGGGTAGGAGATACGGGGTCAGGGCGGGGGGGCGAAGAGGAAGAGCTCCTATCGAAACGTGACCGTTGGTTTATCGATGTCGCATCTGCGGCCATGATACGAATACCTGAAATCGAAGTCGACGAAGAATCTGGATTTGCCCGGTATGCCAGCGCTACAGACCGCGAACTAGCCGTGCGTAAGATGCGCGCCGTGCTACGTGTGTTTGCTGCCAAGGGGGTGCGGCGGGTTGTGTTAGGGGCATGGGGATGCGGCGCATACGGCAACCCAGTCGGCGAGATCGCGAAGGCGTGGCGGAAGGTCTTGGTTAGCGGGAGCAGAGACGAGAACAAAGGAGAAAATGGGCAGCAGAAGAGAAAGGGGAAGTGGAAAAAAAGGGAGTCGGATTCAGATTTATGGGAAAGTTTCGAGCACGTCGTCTTCGCGATCAAAGACGCGGGGATGGCACATGCGTTTGCAACGGCGTTTGGTGAGGGGTTTCTCGAAATAAATAATTCTGAAAGTGGAGGCAATAACATTGGCAGTGAGGATGGAGAGGATGAGGAGGAGGATGCCAGCGTGAAGGAACTCCGTGATAAGATTCGCGAGCTAGAGGTGCGCGCCGGGCAGGCACAGACGCCTCAACTCAGAGCCGGGCTTAGTTCCGTGCTCGCTGGGCTGAGAAGTCAATTACCGCACTCTGATGATATTTCTTCCCGGGCGGACCCAGCAGCCAGTACAGGTGGCAGGGATGACGAAAGTGGGAGCGAGGACAATGACGAGTCCGCCAAAGAAGAGTCAGGGAGCGATGGAGACCGAATCGGGCATTATGACGAGAGTTAAAAATTAAATAGACTATTTGAACCTGCACCTGTTATGTAAATGTCTTATGATATGACCAGTATAACGCAAAATGCATACTTGGATGAGACACAACGGAAAGCAAAACCCGGTCTAAGAATGTCATCAAGTCAGATCAGTTCATTGAAACTCTATTTGTAACTACCTACCTAAGCCCTTGTTAGAGGGAGTCGAATTGCCAATCTTCTCTCCAGTATAACACAATTCTCTGCGTAGGGTATAGTAGAGATCAGTAGAGATCGGATCTGTCTCTCTCAATATTCACTTTTGTAAAATTTATTATTACAATTCATGAGGCATAATGCTACAAATGGATCTCATCCCTTGTCTATGACCAATCATTTCCCCGACGCCCCTAGGTACGTAATTTTTGTTCATTCACAGAAGCAGCTCAAGAGGGTTCTCTACCACCTTCTTGAATTCCTTGATCCACTCAGCACCGACCGCACCGTCGACTACCTTGTGGTCGAAGCTTCCAGTGACTGTGATCTGGTCGTCCCACTCGACACTAGTACCATCCTCACCGGCGGGGATAGCAACCTTCTTCGTAGTACCGACAGCGAGGATGGCAGCCTGCGGGGGGTTGATGACGGCGGTGAAGTTGTCGACGGCAGCGTTCATGCCCATATTAGAGATGGAGATAGTACCACCCTGGAATTCCTCGGGCTTGAGCTTGTTGTCGCGGGCCTTCTTGGCGAGCTCCTTGACCTTGGACGAGATAGATTCTAGACCGCGGGCCTCGACACCAGTAACGATAGGAGTGATTAAACCGTTGGGGGTAGCGACAGCGACAGAAACATCGACGGTGTTGTACTGGCGGATAGCATCGCCCGTCCAGGCCGAGTTGGCAGCAGGGACCTTCTTAGAAGCAACGGCGATAGCCTTGATAAGGAAATCGTTAACAGACAGCTTGTACTTGCCCTCGGACGAGCTGTTTAGAGCTTGTCGGAGCTTTAGAAGCTTGGTAACGGAGATCTGGCTGCTGACGAAGAAGTGAGGGTTCTCCCTGACGGACTCTTGTAGGCGCTTGGCGATGGTCTTTCGCATGTTGGATAGGGGGGTATCTTCGTAAGAGGCAGCAGGAGAGGCAGAAGAACCGGCAGTTGCGGTGGCTTTCTTGACATCGTCTTCCGTAATCTTACCACCGGGGCCGGTACCCTTAAGAGCAGAGACGACAACACCCTTCTCCTTAGCCAATCGCTGGGCCTCCGGAGTTATGTTGGGCAGTCGCTCAAGAGCAGGCTCGATTTTTCCTTCATGAGAGTATTGTTCCGGCTCTTGGGCGGGCGTCGGAGCGGGAGCGGAGGTGGCATTAGACGGCGTATCCGACTTCTTTTCCTCTTTACCTGCCGGTGCTGCGGCATTACCTCCTGCGTCTGAAAGGCTGAAGGACTCAAAGGCAGATATATCGGTTCCCTCGTCGACGAGAATAGCAATTGGCTAGAATAGTAATGTCAGCGTCTCGGAGTACGGAAATGGGGAAGCGCAAAAAGTCACGCACGTTGCCAACGGGGACATCTTTCTCGCCGGCGTCCTTTAGAATCTTAGCGATGACACCCTCCTCTTGGAATTCGAAGTCCATCTGGGCCTTGTCCGTTTCAATCTCGACTAGAACGTCACCGGGGGCAATGGTGTCTCCGGCCTTCTTCTGCCATGCGCCAATGTTACCGGCCGTCATTGTGGGCGACAGCGCGGGCATCTTGACGACTGTGTGCGGCGGGAAAGATGCATAGTATCTTGCTAAGGGCATAAAGCCCGATCTGAGGGTTGCTGTCCTTAGAAGGCCTTGCCTTCTTAACACGGCGCCGAACATTTTGCTGCTGGAAGAAAATGACTCTCCCCCGGATAAAAATATATTTTGAAAAGAGGAAGTCCGGAGCAATTCGATAAGGCAAAAATAAGGAAAAGAATAGGACAGGCCGGGGTATCTCGGAGCAGACAAGTTGCCAGCACCTGGGAATGATTGACCGAGTCCAATTGAGTTGAGGTGTGGGAATTTGGGGGGAGGGAGGCGGCGCGAGACGGGGACGTTGGAGAGAAAAAAAAAGATTAGATCTGAGAAGTTGAGGTGTAAGAGTTGTTGATTGGCGGCGGGTTATTTTCGTGACGGGGTCCCTTCTCAGCAAAGTACGGAAGTACCGCCCGTCTACGGTGCAGTTATGGCAGCCTTGCCCCAAAACTTTCTAGGGACGTTGAGAGAAGCTCCGAATTGCTAACGTGTTGCACCAAGAACCACTAGCGCTACATGTAATAGGTACCTATATTTCTGGATTGTGATGTATTGGTACCTTTTATTAGTGTAGATTACCTGATATTCATATTTATAACTAGAATGCATTATCTATGTTGATTATATTTATATGGATGATATTTAATTTTCAAATGATGTACAAATGAATAAGGTATTATAATTCACTTGTAGAAATTCTAATTTCTATTTCATACCTCCATTGTTGAACGTTAGTTTCTATACGACTGTGCGCTTATACGTGTTATTAGTATTATTGAGAGGTAGAGATACACCGTCCTTGTCGGAATCCGTAGGAATATGGAAATGGGTCTCCCCAATGGATTCCGCTGTGCGATCCCTTTTTGATTGGTTGAAAGGCGCAAGCTAGCCAAGCTAGCAGAGCTCTAGTAAAAAATATGAAGTTTAAAAAGTACATCCTCATCTCATCTTTAATATCTATCCTAGAGCTTCTCTATTATCAAACACCTACGTCGATATTTAACAGTATAGAAATACGAGTGTCTATAAACCGAAGAAAAAAGTCCCTAAAACCGGAACTTCGTTTCAAAGCTCCAGGAAGACTATCTTAATCGATTCCCAATGTGCCTAAAGGATTTGGATGTTTATGAGATCTAAGAAGTTACCTAGGGAGGTATGTAAAATGGTTGAGCGAGCTTACATAGCTGTAAGCAGCTGGGTTATCAGGGCTTATCTATGAGATAGATAAAGCAGTATGTAAGACAAAAGTGACAGGACTGTGGTAGCTGTGGCTGATGGAAACCTTCCACAACCTGAGGTACATAGGTACATTCCATTAAGGCTCAATTCCAGTAATCCATAGGTATGTATCCATTCCATGGATGGAACCTTGTCGATGTGGCTAGGCGCCTAGGTTACATAACACCTATTACCTAAGGCTGCTTTTGATTTACCCGTTCGTAGTATGCAACTCCCCACCCACCCCTTGCCGCGATTTTTGGACCTTGGGCCTTGTCATCAATTAAATCTACAGTGGAGAGCAACCCTTGTTCAGGGAACTTTGCCAGGTTGGCCAGACTAAAAACCTCCAAATTTAATAAAAGTCCCTACGAAGTTCGTCATTTATTACAACTGCGCCTTCTTTTCCCCTAGAGGTATAAGTTGTTAGTTTGCGATATATATTTGTAGTAATCGAGGCGACGAGATCTATCTGATCGACCATTGAGGCGAAACACGAGTGTTAGATTGGTTTGAAAAGGACAGACTGACGTTATTACGAAGCACCTAAATTCTATCCCTGGGTCACGATCAAGTCGCGAACTCGAACTCGAACTCGAACCCTAACTCCAACCCGAATTAACCCCCTATCTTCAGTTAATCGACCCTCCTCGAATGGCCACTATTCCTTCTCCTTAAGCTCGGCGAACCATGAGCTCCTTAGTCTTTGTGGTGTCCTCTCTTGAGGCCATCGCTGCATCCAAAGAAGCACAGAGGAATAAACAGCTCGCCGAACTTACCGAGAAGGCTCTCAAGGCTATTAAGGAAGAGGGAACTCAGATGCCCGACCCCCAGGTCGTCTTCGCGCCCTTGCAATTAGCTACCAAGACTGGAAGCAGTCAATTGATCAATACCGCCCTCGACTGCATACAAAAACTTACTTCTTCCTCGTACTTCTCCGTAAATGTCGCCACGGGCAGCGCGCAGGAGGATAGCACGGATCAGGCTCCCATGATAGATCGTGCTATCGATACGATATGCGACTGTTTTCAGGGCGAGACCACGCCTGTTGACGTCCAGCGACATATCGTCCAGGCCTTGTTGGCCGCTGTGTTGAACGACAAGATCGTCGTGCATGGAGCTGGGTTGCTGAAGGCTGTGCGCCAGGTATATAATGTCTTTTTGCTGTCGCGAATTCCGGAAAACCAGCAAGCCGCGCAAGGAACCCTAACCCAGATGGTTGGCATGGTATTCGAGAGGGTCAAAACGAGACTACATATGAAGGAAGCTCGCATCAGTCTAGGCACATTGAAGAATAGCTCTAGCAATGTCACATTTGACCAAGCAGAGTCCGTCGCCAATGGAAATGACGTTGCCGCCGAAGGACAGGAGACACCCGATGAGGCGACCGCCGAAGGTCTACCCGAGCTCGCGCGTTCTCAGTCAACGAACGAAGGCGGGCCGAAGTTGACCTTAAAAGACCTCGAGCACCGAAAGAGTTTTGACGATTCAAATCTGGGCGATGGTCCGACTATGGTCACTCAGTTAAAGCCGCCCAGGAAGCCGGCAAGGAGAGTTTCCGAACAGACGCAGAGCGACACGGCTACCGAGGCGGAAGAAACTGCCGAGTCTCTTGAAGCTGAAGATGAGGTCTACATCCGGGATGCATACCTTGTCTTCCGGTCTTTCTGCAACCTATCCACCAAGGTCCTACCCCCGGACCAGCTTTATGATTACCGAGGCCAGCATATGAGATCCAAACTTATTTCACTGCACCTTATCCGTACCCTTTTGAATAACCACATGCTCGTTTTTACTTCGCCCCTATGTACTATTACCAACACAAAAAGTAATGAGGCGACCAATTTTCTACAGGCCATCAAGTTCTACCTCTGCCTTAGCATCACTCGAAACGGGGCTAGCTCGGTTGATAAAGTATTTGAGGTTTGCTGCGAAATCTTTTGGTTGATGCTCAAATTCATGCGAGCGCCGTTCAAGGTAAGACTGGCTTCCGGTTTATTGATCTCCATTAATCTAACATTGTAACTATAGAAAG